GACTCCATCAGGAGTGCCTCAAAGCTGCCCCTCTGACTCGGGGGTTCTCAGACGTGGGTGTGCATGAAAACCACCTGAAATGCTGGTTATAGAGGTAGATTCCGGGAGCCCCATTCCAAGGAGGATTCCAAGGATCATTTTAAACAAACTCTGGGGCCTAGGCATTGAGGAAGCCTGCCATAGCCATGCCTTCAGCTGAGAAGTCATCCCTGACTATCAGTCCCAAAGACTCCGCCTCTGAAATCCCTTAGTATTTTATATCTCATATAAGCTCTTAGCACTTTCTGTCTCGAATTGTAGAAATCTGTGTCCATATTGATATGTTTCTAATTATTTATCAATCTGCTCAGAGTTACAAATGGTCATTTCAAAAAAATTGGAAAATCCAAAGAATAAAAATCATCTCCACTCCCACACCCGTTAATATGTATATTTATATCCCTTCAGACATTTTCTCTATAAATGTTTTTTTTGTGTGTGTGTGTGAGGAAGATCAGCCCTGAGTTAACATCCATGCTAATCCTCTTTGCTGAGGAAGACCAGCTCTGAGCTAACATCTATTGCCAATCCTCCTCCTTTCCCCCCCACCCCAAAGCCCCAGTAGATAGTTGTATGTCATAGTTGCTGATCCTTCTAGTTGCTGTATGTGGGACGCGGCCTCAACATGGCCAGAGAAGTGGTCCGTCGGTGCACGCCCGGGATCCAAACCCAGGCCGTCAGTAGCGGAGCGTGTGCACTTAACCGCTAAGCCACGGGACAGCCTGGTCTATAAATGTTTTTGTTAAAGGATCCTACTTCATGAATGATTTTACAATCTTTTTCACCTAAAATGCACTATGTAGGGCCGGCCCTGTGGCTTAGTGGTTAAGTGCGCGTGCTCCGCTGCTGGCGGCCCGGGTTCGGATCCCCGGCGCGCACTGACGCACCACTTCTACGGCCATGCTGAGGCCGCATCCCATGTACAGCAACTGGAAGGATGTGCAGCTATGGCATACAACTGTCTACTGGGGCTTTGGGGGAAAAAATAAATAAAAAATTATAAAATAAAAAAAATAAAATGCACTATGTGATGATTCTATAGCTTGTCCTCAACTTCATCTCTTGTGTCCCTAAAGTGACCAGTTTAGTCGTTGCCACAGAGTAGAGCATTCTGTAAACAATCTTAGCAATAAAACTCTACAATTCTGGGACAAAACAATGTGTCATTTGAGCTCCCAGAGAAATCAGCATCCAACTTGTCACACAGAGTTGACCACAGACCTCTGCTTAGTGGCCTTGGGTCTGCTGTAAGGAAGCAGCCTTACCCAGGGCTTTCCCAGAGACCCAGGAGGGTTTGCCAAAGCCCCGGGCTTCGGGGCCCAAGGTGGGAGAGGGCAGGAGAAAACAGCCCTGAGAGGCTCCCATATCAGCACCAGAGGAAAGTTGTGAGGGGAGCTGGCTGGCTGCTCTCTGGAGTCAGAAAGGTCGTTGCTCAACTCCCTGGATTTTCCATCACAGACGAATGGGAGAGGGTCAGGCTGGGAAATGTCTCCTCTGAACAGGTCCTTTTAAAGCCTCTTGGCTGGATCAATTTCCTCCCAGGAGCCAGGGAAGCAGTGCCAGGGTGGAGTTAACTCCTCCACTCCCAAGGAATTCTCTCAGAGATGGGTGAGCCTGGGAGCGCAGGCTTCTGGAATGCAGAGCCATCCAGGGCAAGAGGCCTAAGGAGCCGCGAACTCTGGCTGGAGAAACCTTCCCTCTGGTCTTGTTAAATCCAACAGCATAATTGCATCCTGCTGACCTTAATTCCCCTGGCGGCTTTAATTGGTCCTGGCATTGCCCAATTTCCTGCCCTGCCCCTGTAGAGGCAAGGAGGGTGGCTGCACAGCTGGTGCAGGAAGGGAAAGCCCCTTCTTAAGGGTGGGCAGGGGCTCTGGCAGCCCCCAGCTGGGTGGAGGAGGTTTCCCTGTGCCCCACCCCTGTGCCTCCAAGGGACCGCTGAGAAGAAGCTCGGGGATGCCCAGGGAGCAGCTGGTGGAGCTGAGCTCAGCCTGGGAGGGCAAGCAAGCTGCAGGCAGTTGTGTGGATGCGGAACCAGGCCAGCGTCTCATCCCAGTGGGAGGGACTGTGGAGGAGCCTGTAGGGACAGGTTGAGCCCTCTATCCGGGGTGTCCACAATATTTGAGATCCCACGGTGCCGTGGGTACTGCCAAGCACTCTACGGTACATGTGCTCACTAAATGCTCCCAGCAGCCCTAGGAGAGAGGCAACCAGGCAGAGTGGTTATGAGCTGAGCCTTGGGTTAGATGGTTCACATCCAACTCTGTGACTTTGCCCTGTGACTCAGTTTTCCTGTCACATCTGTGAAATGGGGATGAAATAGCTGACATTTATACAGCACTTACTAAGTACCCATGCACTGTTCTAAATGCTTTATATACCTCCCCCTGTGAGGAGGGTCTTGCCCTACAGATGAGGAGACAAGTGAAGGCATTTGCCTGAGCCTCACAGTTATTAGTCTCAGAGCTTCACCCAGAGAGCTCCTTAACCACTCCTCGGTAGGACTGTTGTAAGGATTGAATGGAGGACACTCATGAAGTCGCTTACCCCAGGGCCTGGCCCATTTAGTAAAAGTTCAAGAAATGCTAGTTATTATTTGGGAATCATAACAGTAACACATGTAGCAAATAAAGCCCCTTACGTTGTCCCAGCCTGGATTTTGGTCTCATTGGGAGGTGGCTCTGGATTTAAACTTGGGTAGTTTGAGGCTGTTCGATAGCTGTGCAACTTTAGGGACAAGCCTTTTACCCTCTCTCAGCATCAGTTTCTGCACCTTTAAAATGATCTAAGGGGCCGGCCCCGTGGAGTAGCGGTTAAGTGCTCGCGCTCTGCTGCTGGCGACCCGGGTTCGGATCCCAGGCGTGCACTGACGCACCGCTTGTCAGGCCGTGCTGTGGCGGCGTCCCACATAAAGTGGAGGAAGATAGGCACAGATGTTAGCCCAGGGCCAGTCTTCCTCAGCAAAAAGAGGAGGACTGTCATGGATGTTAGCTCAGGGCTGATCTTCCTCACACACACAAAAAAAATGATCTAACACTTGGCCCCTAAAGTCCCGTGTGAAGATCCAATGCGCTGGATAAAGCCCTCGGCAGAGCCAGGCACGGCCCTTAGCGGCGCACTCACTCAATAAACGATCGGTATTGACAACCACAGTAACAAAGGGACGTCAGCCAGGGCCGTCACGGTAGAGAAATCCCACAAACCCAGTCCACAGCGTTGCTGGTCACTCAGTTATTTACTCACCAAACACTGATTGGCTGGGGACACACGTGGGCATCGTTGAACAGCTCCTGCCCTAGAGAGGCTCCCAGACAGTGTCAGTGGTGGGATCAACCTGGAGCTGAAGGAGGCCAGAGGAGGGGAGTCCGACATTTCAAGCTAAACCAGAATATGTTGTGACGACCAAATAGAGGGCCAGGGGGTCTGGATAATAGGCTCAGAAAGCATTTCAACCTTCAGAATGCTATGAGACCCATAAAAGAGGTACCTAGCGGGGAGAGGGGGCGAGGCACAGGCTGGGAAATTTCAGGGAAAAAAGACAGACCTTTCTGGCTCAACTCTCTTCCTTGTGGAGGTCTGGGCACGTTACCCACCATTTGGATCCTCCCCATCTTCACCTAGAAAATAGGAGGAAAGCGCCCCACCAGGTTATTACCAAGACGATGTTTTAGGAAAGCATAATAAATCTAACAGCAGGCACTCAGAAAACAGGAGCTCCCTTCCCTTCGGAGAGCCTGGGTTCAGATCCTGGCTCAGTCCCTTACAAGCTGAATGGCTCTGGGTAAGTTACCTAACCTCTCTGTGCCTCAGTTTCCCCATCTGTAATCGTGCCTACCTCATGAGGTTGCTGTGAAGATCACATGAGTGAAGCTACATAAGAGCACTCAAGGAGGGGCCTGGCAAGTGCTCTACAGGCATTAGTAAATATTTTGGCTTCCTGGAGGAGGCAGGCTGTCAACTAGACCTTGAAGGAGAGAAATGGAGGAGGGGAGGGACAGGTCAGGAGAGGACGGCCAGGCAGAGCAAAAGTGGACAAGACTGAGGAAGGAGCTCCAACTCTGGTCATTGCTAGCCTGCACCAACACGCCCAACAATTGCTTACGTAAAAAAAAATCACTCATTTTGAATAATCACATAGTTCATGGTTCAAATAAAGAAGTAAAAGTGTATGTAGTGACGTCTCCCTCCCACCCCTGGTCCCCAGTGTCTTGCTTATCCTGCCAAAGAAATTCTTATGCATATAAAGTGAAAATTTATATATTATTACGTATATAATAACGTCAAATATTATATATTTTACCCCCTTTTGCCCAAATGATAACATACTCTACATGCTATTCTGCACCTGGCTTTACTTTTTTTTTTTTCCACTTTGGAGGTTGCCTCATATCAGTTCATTCACAGGTTCCTCACTCTTTTTTACAGCAACCTAATTTCCCATCACTTAGACGTGCTGCATTCTTAAGTCATTTCCCACCCCCCCTTCTCCCCTCGGAGGGCAGGGGTTGTTTCCTCCATTTGATACTTAGAGGGGCTGAGGCTTGTCACAGTCAGGACCCGAACCCAGACGCCCATTCCAGAGCTATTCCAATGCACTGGGCTCAGGCTAGTTTTCAAAGTCCCCCTCAGAGAAAAGGTCTGGGCGGAGAGCCCCTGGGTGATGGAAGGCCCTTTGCATCATACCTCACCCTGGCCCATCTCAGGTTGTACACCTCAGGCTGGAGCGGCCCCCGGGTCACCAGTGTTGTGGAGGATCCTTGGAAAAGACTCCATCAGCTCCCTACTTCCAGGTGGGCCATTGGAGAGACCTGGCCCAGCTCCGCAGAGGGGCATAAGAGCACTGACCATCTCCCACAGCTGCTTGGGGCAAGCTCCATCCCCCCAGGAGACCAAAAACAGACATTTTCAAAAGAAAAGGCTTTTGGACATGTTGAGCAAGTGCCCCCAAGACAATTTCTTACCCAAAGATGCTCCAAGGAGGTCCGATGCCAGGGCCAGGGCTCATGGGCACAGAGCCGGGCACTGGGGCCAGGGTGATTATCCCTGGGCCTGCGTGGCTCTAATCAGGTTCTGGGAGACCCCAGGAGATGTGGCATGCAGGTGGGCAGAGCCAGGGCCCAGCCTGGGCAGAGTCTGGCCTGTCAGCCCTGCCCGGGAGCCCCTCTTCTTGCAGGCCCCCTCCCTGACCCTGTCCAACCAGTGATACCCAGCAAGGCCTGGGAAAAGGCTGCTCCCCCAGGGCCCCAGGTGCCCCCTCCCTTTTCTCTTCCTGCTTGTTCCAACACCACTCTCTCCCCAGTCGGTCCATGGGAAGAATGCTGTGTCCTCTGAACGGGGGCCAAGAGTGACAGGTGGTGGCAGTCGGAGCTGCATGGCCCCTGGTGTAAGAGATCCTCTCCCCCGGCCCCGCCTCCCCTGCCTGCGCCCCTGCCTCCGCCTCTGCCCACCCGGCCCAATCCTTTACAACTGCCCCAGGACTGCTCCCGGGTAGCCGCTGCAAGACAGACGGCCACCAGGTTGCCCTTCTCTGCTCCAGGTACGTCTCTCCCCTCAGTCAGCTAGCCCTGGCCTCCTCTTGGCCAGGTAAGAGGAGGAATCCAACAGCCGGACATACCTCACTCTTCTTTCTGCAGCTAGAAAGACTTGAGTTAGACAAGCAGAAGCACACGCCTCCCTACCTCATGGCGACAGAAAACGGAGCAGTCGAGCTGGGAATCCAGAGCCCATCAACAGGTGCCAAGCTGGGGCAGGGGACGGAGGGAGGGGCTTGGGAAGGGGTGTTTGAATCCTGGGTTGGGCCAGGTCTTCAGTGGGAGTTCTGTGCCTGAGGCCTCTTTGTATGGCACATGGGGGACCCAGAAATTAGAATTACCTCTAGGTAGGGTTGGGCTGGTTCAAGGGCCTACATGAAGCCCTCCCTGAGAGACTGGGAAAATGTGAAGCCCCCATGGATGGTACCTAACCACTCAGAACAAGGGATGGGGTGGGGTGGGGGGGCGTCAAGGCCCACCAGAGGACCAGAGGCCTCCCACACGAGGCCTCCAATGTCCCGGCAGCCCATTTCTAGAGCCCATCAGGTGGCCCCAGAGGCTCCGTGGGACAAGCATTTGCAAATTGTTGCCGGGGTGGGGACCTGGGCCCAGAGCTGGTCTCTGGCCAGCCTGGCTGGGGAAGGAGGGGCAGAAGGGTGGATCCTGACTGGTGTCTCACCACTTTTGCAGACAAGGCACCTGGCGAAGGGGCAGCAGGCGAAGGACTCCCAGCTCCAGAGAAAGACCCTGCTCCTCCAGACCCAGAGAAGGATCCTGGGCCCCCAGATGCAAAGAAAGAACCTGGCCCCCCAGACTCAAAGGAAGAACCTGGTCCCCCAGACGCAAAGAAAGAACCTGGCCCCCCAGACTCAAAGAAAGAACCTGGCCCCCCAGACTCAAAGGAAGAACCTGGCCCCCCAGACTCAAAGGAAGAACCTGGCCCCTCAGACGCAAAGAAAGAAGCTGATCCACTCCCCCTGAAGAAAGATGCCAAAGCCCCCACCCTAGAGAAGGGAGGAGGTGCCCTGGCCCAGCCCTCAACTAGCAGCCAGGGCCCTGAGGGAGAAGGCGACCTGGGTGGGGGGCCTGCGGAGGGCAGTGCTGGGCAGCCTGCAGCCCTGCCCCAGCAGACTGTAACAGCCGAGGCTGGTGTCAGGAAGCCCAATGCCGAGCAGGGGACCTCAGGCAGCCAGGACCCCGGAGAGCCCCAGGTGCGCAAGAAGGAGGCAGAGGGCCAAGCAGCGGCCAGGAGGGGCTCACCTGCCTTTCTGCACAGTCCCAGCTGCCCTGCTGCTATCTCAAGGTGAAGACCCCCTGCCTGGGAGCGGAGAGGTGTCCTGTGGCTCTGTCCCCAGGGGCTGTGCTTAGCTCCTCTGTCTTGGGCATCATTGTCATCACATTCAGTGCTGGATTGGGTAGTTCTGACAATCACTTCCTCTGTTCTGGGCATTGGCCTGACCTCCTTGTCCCCCTGCAGAAACCAGGACTTTGTGATAATTCAAAGAAGCCCAAAATGTCACACGGGAGATGTCCTCAAAGACCTCTTTTCTGGGCATCTGGAGTTCAGACTTCCCCTTACTCCATGAACTTGGGTCTAGCCAGGGCAGGGCTGAGATGTCAGGAGGAAAGGAAAACCCTTCTTAATATAATTATCAGTATTATGTGGAAAGATGACTAATAATGGGATTGGTAGATCATTACTAACACTTGCATAACCATAATATAGCACCAGTCTTATGATGCAATCAGTTATACTTACCTGAATGCTAATCATATTAATGAGGTTATTAGTGATATATTGTAAACCACAATAATAACACACTGTATCAGTTTGATTTATGTACTAATATCAGTTGTATCGCCACAGTTTTTATGAATCAAGAGCTACGTAATCTCCCTAATTGAGTCTACATAATGATTAACCAAATCAACATTCCTACTAATATTTATTAATGCTTTGGTAGTCAAGATAATGACCACAGACATTTATGGTATTATTAATGTCTCTTGATTTTGCAATAAAGTGACTTCAGATGCATTACCCCATGTGTTTGGGGAGAGGGGCATGGTTGTATTAACCCCAGATTGCAGATGAGGATCTGGAAGCATCGAGACCTGCTGGAGGCCGCAGCGGGGCTGTGGCTGCTAAGGGCATCACCTCCGTGTTCTCACCTTCCAGCTCTAAGAAGCTACTGGCCGAGAAGCCCCCAGATGAGGCATTGGAGCTCATCTTTGAAGGGGTGCCGGAGACCCCTGGCCCCACAGATCCTGGGCTAGCCAATGCAGCAGCAGGAGGGAAGAGCATCCTGGAAGGCAGCCAGAAGGAAGCAGGAGAGAAGGCCCCAGACCAGGCTGGTGAAGCTCAAGAGCAAGAGGACACCTCGAGGGGGATCGAGTTCCAGGCTGTTCCCTCGGAGCGATCAGAGGTGGGGCAGGCCCTCTGTCCCACAGCCAGGGAGGAAGACTGCTTCCAGATTTTGGGTAGGCCAGGGGCAGGGGGGCGCTGGGGCTCCCTGGGGCCCAGGGAGGAGGGAAAGGGGCTCCACGTCTCCCCATGTCTCCCTGTTTGGAGGACTGAACTGCTCTGAGCCACGCCTCACCCAGGCACATTCATCCAAGTGTCCACAACCCCAGGAAGTACGACTTCCTGTTCCTTTTTGCTAGATGAGGAAACAGAGGCTCAGAGAAGGGGAAATGGAGTGAGGGCTCAAAAATCCATAGCTAGGACAGGATTTGAACCTGTTGGAACAAGCCTGACTCTAGACTCACTTTTGACTTTCTTCTCCTTTGTCCACAATGGGGTTTTGAAGAAAATCAGTCAGGTACTGGAGCAACACCAACTCTCTCGACAGTGGAATATGAAGTCAGTCTGTAGAAGGGCTCCAATGCCAGGCTTTGGTCCTTAAACTACATTCTGGAGGGGGTGAGGAGGGTCAAGGGAGCCATAGAGGGCTCATGAGCTGAGGAGCGCAGGTGTCTGTGTGTGGGAGCAGTGACCAGGGAAGCTGGGCACTTGAGATAGGGCAGGACTGTGGAGTGGCCTTAACTGACGGTCAGACAAGGAGCCGGTAGATTTTTCAGCCGACAGCAGGGAGCCATTGAGCATGACTGAGTTGGCCAACAGGTGAATAGGGAGAGGCCTGGGCAGGGGGGTGGCAGGGTTGGGGGTGGGGTGAGATGGGGTCAGGAGAGCCCAGAATGTCCTGACACCCCCCCTTCTCCAGGCTGAGGTGCCCTGGGAGCCCCGCCAGCCTGCCTGGTGAGCGGCACAGAGCCACCCAGACAGGGTGGGAGGGCCTGGCGGCTGGGAGGCAGCCAGGAGCCCTGCCTCCTCCCCTGAGCAGCGGCAGAGACCTCCGCCCCGCTCCGCCCCGCCCAGAAATCACATCCTCGGGGTAACAGGACCTGAACAACCTCCAAGAGCCGTCTGATTTATCACCATCCCGGCTTCCCTGCAGCCTCTTGCTATTTATAAAGAGGTTTCCATTCCCGATGACTCAGCCTGTCGGCAGCCAGGAACCGCTGTTCCCCATGGTTGCCACTAGGTGGCAGCCACTCCCTACTAAACATCTCCGTCCCTGTCTCCTCCCCGGGGCCCAGGTTGGACACCCGTTCCACAGGTCGGGCCAACTTGTGGGTGGTGTTCGAGAGGACGGTAGGCAGATCCCACCACCTACCGCATCATTCAGACCTAGTAACCCCGATCTGACACTCCACCATTATAGCTGCTTTTTTTTTCTTTAATGGAAATACAGATAGCTTGGGATGGGGTCTTCATACCTTATAATGCAAGAGGGTCGGAGAAGTCCAATCAGCCATCCCCATTGTTGTGCTGGGAGAAGCTGAGCCCCGCTCTGACGGAGGCAGAGGCCTCCCAAGGCCATTTTGTGTGTTGGTCGCAGAGCTGAAATTGGAAACTGGGCCCCTTAGCCCTGTTCTGGAGCCAGCTGTCCCCCAGGTATCACTCAGTGAACTTCCCTGGATGAGACCCAGGCCAGGCAGGAGGGGGTGGTGCCAGGGTGAATCCTCAACAGCCCCCAGCACTGACTGTGATGGTACTGCTCTGCATCCTCAGATGATTGCCCGCCACCCCCGGCCCCCTTCCCCCACCGCATCGTGGAGCTGAGGCCCGGGAATGTCAGCAGTCAATTCAGCCTGAACTCCAAGGAGGCGCTGGGCGGGTGAGAGCTGGGACCCCGAGCCCCCGGCCCACGGGTAGGAGGGCATCGAGCCCCCGGGGCCTCACATCTTCTCTGTGCAAGACCCAGACACACCCCAATTGGACATGTGGACATAATTCTTCTAGGTGGTCACACCCACCATGTGCTTGCTGTCACACAGGCTGATATACACTCATGTCACTGTCACTCACACAGACACACCATCGGTCACTCAGTGTTTTCCATAGGAAACGCACAGTGTTTTCCTGTCTGTCTCAGTTTCAGGCACCACACTGACCCCCTCAAGGTGATTCCTGCTTGGTAAAAAGCCCTGAAGGTGCCCTCCCCGGGGGCCCAGAGCCCCAAGGCCCCTGTCGGCCACAAGCCTGTGAGCTGTCACATCAGGGGCCGTCCTTCAGATGAGCCTACCCTTCTTGTGCCCATGGTTTGTGTGGTTCAGCCATTGTCCCTGCAGTAGAGCTCAGAGCTTCAGGAGCGAGTCATGGCTGGCTGGGGCGAGTGCCCGCATCTCACATCAGGGATCCAGACGGGAACAGAGCACAGGTCCCCTGCAGCCCTGTGCCCCTTGCGACCCCCTCGCTCCCAGCCTCTTCTCTCTTCAGCGGCAAGTTTGGAGCAGTCTGTACCTGCACAGAGAAATCCACAGGCCTCAAGTTGGCAGCCAAGGTTATCAAGAAACAGACGCCCAAAGACAAGGTAGTGGGGCTGGCTCCACAGAAAGGGGAAGGGATCCTTGGAGTGGGTGCCTCTTGCCTCCCTCTGCCCACGTGTCTGCACTAGGGCTCTTGTGTGCCAACCCTGATGCCCCAGAGATGTCACATGGATAGACACATGAACAGACAGACAGCCCTGCCACAGGCCTGACACCCCTCACCATAAACCGGACACCTCAGTTAGTGAACTTATCCTGGGGACTTCCCCTTCTAGGCAAGGGATAGTCATGCTCTCTGTTTGGTTCAATTCAGCAAACACTGATAAGTGTGGGGTCTGGGCCAGGCCCCAGGCTGGGCACTGGGGGTCCCAAAGTGGAGGGAACGTGGACCCCGCCCTGGGTACACAGGCCCAGTCCAGGGCTCTGCCTCCAGCACCCAGCCTGGGAGTCATTCAGAGGAGGCTGAGAGCAACGTCTGTTTAAAGAATGAATGAATGAATAAAAGCAGAGGCTCACATGGAGTGAGGGAACCGGGTGTGTGAGGAGGTGATGACAACCTAGAACCTGGTCTGGTGAGAGCTGTAACAGGAAAGCTGGGGCGGGGGTCAGGAGGTGGGCAGAGGAGGCTCCTGACACAGTCTGTGGGGTCAGGGGAGCTTCCTGGACGGGCTGTCTGCTGAACGAAGGCTTTGAAGAAGGAAGAACTATTTTCCAGTGGAGAAGGTGGGAAGGAGAGTTTCAAGCAGAGGGGACTGTGGGAGGAAAGGCCTGAGGGCTAGAACAGCAGGTACCTGCTGGGAACCCTTGAGCTGAGGCGGGGAGAGCCCAGGAGTGAGGTTACGGGCACTCCAGGCAGAGACCGCAGCACGGGCAGTGGCCCGGAGCCCAGAAAGAGCCTGAGAAACAGCTCCAGAGTGCTGCAGCCCTGACTTCCCATCAGAGCACTAAGCACATCTGGAAGGCCTGTATTTTCTGTGGCTCTGTCTTTCTCTGCCTCTTCCGCTTGACATCGCCTGGACTTGTGTTATTGACTGCTGGGTTCCCAGGTCTCTATCATGGACCTGGCTCAGCATAGATGCTCAAGACATATGGGCTGTCTACACTGATTGGAGTCAGCTATTGGTTAAATAATTACTGAGCACTTTTTCCATGCCATTCACCCTGCCGGGTGCTAGGGAAATGGTAGTGAATTAAAAAAAGTCCGTGTCCTCATAGGCTGACATGCTTCAGAGGAGGGAGAGAGTTAAAAAACAAACAAAGCAAAAAGCAGAGTGTCAGGAACAGAGAAGTGCCAGGAAGAAAAATAAAGCCAGGTAAGGTATAGGGAGTGTGGGGCCGATGGGGCCGTTCTGATAGGGTGGTGAGGTCAGGCCTCTCCAGGGAAGTGGCATGGAAGATGAGCTATGAACGAAGCAATGGAATAATGGGAGAAAAGGAGCAGCAACAGGATGCTCTAGGGGAACGGGTTGGGAGAGCCTTGATTTGTAGTATTTGCCAATTTCCCGGGTGTAAATATTCCCACCATGGCTGATTTCAAGCTACCAATGTGACAACTGGCTTGCAAAGTTTCTGAAAGTGACAAATAATGATGGCTTAGACTTGGAAGGCAGAGGTGGAGGAGGTGAGAAATTACTGGATTTGTAATCCATTTTGAAGGTAGTGTGAAAGGATTTACTGATGTGGGGTGTGAGGAAGCGAGGATAAGAGAGGAATCTGGGATAGCTCCTAACTTTGTGTCCTGCCCACCTGGGTGAAGAGTGCTGTCCTTCTGCTGATGGGCAACTCAACTGTGGGGAAGAGGTACCAAGGGTTTAATGTTGGACATGGTAGATTTGAGATGCCTATAGACATCCCAGGGGAATGGCAGTTCGGCAGATGGAGATGTGGGTGTCTGGAGTTCAAGAGAGCACTTGGAGGTGGAGAGATGTATTTGGGAGTCAATCATGTTGGGATGGAATGTCAAGTCATGGGACAGGGAGACTGTAGAGAGGGGAGGGATGAGCGGGGAGGACTGGGCCCTTGGGTGCCCTGATATTCACTCAGGAAGAGGAGAGGAAACCAGCAAAGGAAAGGTGTCCCACCAGGAATGACTGAGTGTGGTGAGCACACAGGCTTGGAGGTGGGGAGATGGGAGGCAAGGAGCCAGAGGGGAGGAGGCTAGCAGTGGTCGAGGCAAGGCCTGAGAGGTCTGGTCTAGGGCGCAGGTATGGCGGGTAGAGGGCAGGGAGTGATGATGCTTGCATGGCAGCCTTGTCTCCCCTGGTTCCCAGGAAATGGTGAAGCTGGAGATTGAGGTTATGAACCAGCTGAACCACCGCAATCTGATCCAGCTATATGCGGCCATCGAGACCTCGCACGAGATTGTCCTGTTCATGGAATAGTGAGTGCCGGCAGTGGGAGTGGGGGCCGGGTGAGGGTGCCAGTGGGCCCAGAAGCAAGCCTGTAGAGGGGTCTGTGCACACAGCATCGAGGGCGGCGAGCTCTTCGAGAGGATTGTGGATGAGGACTACCATCTGACTGAGGTGGACACCATGGTGTTTGTCAGGCAGATCTGCGACGGGATCCTCTTCATGCACAAGATGAGGGTTCTACACCTGGACCTCAAGGTACTGGGGCTGGGGCCTCCCAGGAGGGGTCGGGAGCAGCATCCGACCACCTGAAATCAGTGTTGCAACCAGCCATCCCTCCATCCTCCCATCCTTCCTTCTCTTCCTCCATCCATCCTTCCATCTGTAGATTCAAAAAGGGTTTATTGAGCACTTACTAAGTACCAGGAGCCGGGGATACAACAGAGAGCAAAAAAAGACTTAGTCCTAGCTCTCAGGACTCCTAGTCCAGTGCTAAGTACTTGTTGACAGGGTCTTGCAGTCCCGTGAGCCCCCAGCTGGGTGTCTCACACATAGAACTTGCTAGTAGGTGTTGCACAAGCACCTGCCTCAGTGCTGGCCCCCGAGAGGCACTGAGAATGTTCATTTATTCAACAAGTATTTGTTGAGGGCCCATGGTATGCCAGGCAGTGTTCTAGGTGATGGAGACCCAGTGATGAACAAAATAGATAAAAAATGCCTGCCCTCCTGGAGCTTAGGCTCTCAAAGGGGAGTCAGAAAAACAAATCAATAAGTATAGTGTCAGCGCAGCAATACCCATGTGATAGGCGCTAACGAAAATGTTTAATGAAAGAATATTTCTATCCCTCTTGTGGCTCTGCTCAGTACCTTGCATGTAGCAGGTCAGGGAGAGCAAATAGGTTTTATGTGTCACAACAGCTCCTATCAACTGGTAGTGGCTGCCTGGAGCTTAGTGACGTCAGCCATGGTGTGGAGTAGGTGGGAGCAGCGTCCTTATGGCGAGTGTTAATGTCTGTAGGGTAAGTGGCAAGGCCAGTGGGGGAGATGAAATGTGAACACTGGGGTGGGTTAGCACCCATCAGCTAAGTGGACAGTGCTTTCATTCATTCATTTGATAAACATGTACCGAGTACCTGCTCCTGTGCTCTCGTGCGTTGTGCTGGGCACAGGCGTTACTGTAGGCACGACAAAGAACACACCCCTGTTTAACGGAGTCTACAGGCTAGTGGGGGAAACAGACGTATAAAATAATAACCAAATAAATAGGTCATTTTAAAAGGTTGAAAGTGTGATGAAGTACATGTGAGCAACGGGGAGACGTGTAAGGTGAACTTGGAGAAGCAGGCAAGGGGCAGAGCTTGGAGGTCTAAAGCAGGCCAGGGAGACGCTGCTGCTGTGGGCTAACCCCACACCGTGCTTCTGAGGGGTCAGAGCTGCACAGAGTGCGGACTCCTCCCAACAGCCCGCTGGGACAGGTGTGCTAGTATCATCCCCACTGACAAGTGAGGAAGTGAGGCGGTAAGGAGATGGCTTTCAATGGGGCCAACGTGGCAGCAGGGAAGTTAGGGGGCTGTTGTAATGAGCCAGGAGAGAGGTAGGTGGTAGGGGCTGGAGCCAGAGGGGCAGTAGGGAGGAAGGGGAGTAGCCAGATGATGGACGCCTTCTGGAAACAGAGCAGATCTGACGTTTGGATGGGGTGGGGGTTAGGGAAGGAAAGAGGAAGGGGGCCTCCTGAGTTTCTGGGCGGAGCCGGTGCCTGTGTTGTGGTATTGGAGGCCTGCCATTCCCCCATGAAAGCCACTGTCTTTGGGAGTAGAGCCGGGTCCCCGATTAAAATGCAGTGCCCTGGGAAGAAGCTCAGCCTTAAACCTCTGTATCCTAAAATGTGTTTTTTTCAGGATAGCAATGTTTTTTTTTTTAAATCAGAAAAGGGGTTTTCACAGTCAAGGAAGTTGGGTGAGCCATTTTCCAGGCCTCCTGGACGCAAAGCTTCTCAGGAAGTCCCGTGTCCTCCGAAAGGAGGTCTGAGTCTGCCTCGTTTCCCCAGACGATGTACCCTGGGACCTTTCTTTCTTCCCTGTTTTGGTGGGAGGTCAGGTCGAGCTATTAAGTCATCAGTGTCCTGCTCTGACTGAAGGCAGCAGTTCAACAAGGGCCTTCAGACAGCCTTTCCTTAGAGGCCTTGACTCAAATGCCCACAGAGCCCCGAAAATAACAAAACCGTGTGCAAGGGCCAGGTCGGGGTGGTGGCGGCCCCCGGGGACCGGAGGACTTTTGCTCTGTCTCAGGGGTCAGCAGCAACTCACTCCAAGCAGTGTGTGGCCGTGTGGCTGGGGCTTCCGGTGTTCCAGGAGGTGCTGGAAATCAGGAAATCAGGGGTTTTGTGTGAAATCTCCTGCCTTTTAACCATTGTTAACTGTTTAAAGTGTTTCTGCCCTGCAACCTCAGATTAGTCCTGTGTCCTTGTGTTCTATGAAGAGAAAATGGAGGCCCAGAGCGGGGAGGGACCAGCCTCGTAGTAAGTCCATTCACACGCTCACCTGTGCTTGGGCCCAGGATTCCTGGGAGCCTTGGCTGAATACCTAGGGGGCGCCTTTGTTGGACACTGAGGGTGGGGAGCAAAGAGGCTGGGAGAAGACGATCCCTGTCCTGAAAGAGCCAGCCCACTTGCGGCCTGTCCACCCCACCCCCACACCACGGAGTGCACTGTGGGTTGTTGCCCGGTGGCAGGCAGAGTGATGTCAGGAGACCAGTGCTAGAGTCAGACGGTCCTGGGGTCAAGTCCTGGCTCTGCCACTTACTTACTGGGTGACTGTGGCCAAGTCCCTTCTGTGTCTGAGCCTCGGTTTTCTCAACTGTGAAATGGGGATGGATGGTGACAGCACCTGCCTCCTAAAGCTGTTGAGAGGACTGATGAGCTAACAAGCAGAAAGTGATTGACCCGGGCCTGACGTTTGTAGGTGTCCTCATCTCTAACTGGGAGGAAGGAGTAGCACAGCCGAGAGTGCACACGGAGCAGTGTGAAGCCCTCTGTTCCCAGGGGCTTCCTCTGGGAGCCCGGAGCTGGTGGTTTCTTTCTCTGGTCTCTGGTCTCTGGAGCTCTGGCCCTGAACTGGCCTCCCACCTGGGGCACAGCTCTCCTCTGCAGCCTTCAGTTTCTCCATCCTCAGAATTGCTAGAACATTGTTGTTCTTTCATGGCCTTAAATGAAGGAAATTCCCCCCTCAGAAGCCTTGTGCTGCAGGACTTGTACGAGTCCCTCTGGGGGCCTCGGGATCCTCATCTGTGCCTGGAGCCGGCAGGTCCCAGGGTCTCCAATGGCTGTCTGTTCTGGTGGCTTGGGCCTCTGTTCAGGGAGCCTGGGACTTGGGTGGACCTGGACGGGGAGGGAGGGGGAGCTGGGTCAGAGGCCAATGCCAGCCACCCCCCTCTCCTCAGCCAGAGAACATCCTGTGCGTCAACACCACGGGCCATTTGGTGAAGATCATTGACTTCGGCCTGGCACGGAGGTACCACCTGGTGGGTGGGGAGGGCAGAGTGAGCCTCTGAGGTGGGCCGGGGGCAGGGGAGGGGTAGAGGGCACCTGGGGACGGGCTGGGAGCTGTGCTCTGAGCTCTTGGTCTCATCCCCAGGTACAACCCCAAAGAGAAGCTGAAGGTGAATTTTGGGACCCCGGAGTTCCTGTCGCCTGAGGTGGTGAATTACGACCACATTTCGGATAAGACAGACATGTGGAGTATGGGGGTCATCACCTACATGCTGTGAGCCCTGAGGGAGCACGCTGTTCACAGGGTTGGGGCACATGCGTGGGCAGCTGAGGCCAAGATTGGCCTCGGGTCTCCGTGAGGTGGACCCACTTTCCCGCTCTCTCAGTCAGGGGTTTGCTGGGGTTGGGAGTGCTAGGGAGAACCAGGAAAGGTGAACTTTGGAGCCATTTTATAGACAGAGAAACCAAGGCTCCTAAAGGCATACCATCCCAGCCCAGGGCTCTGGACAGCAGATCTTTATGACCCAGGGTAGGGGCAGAGGGGTAGTGGGCATTTTTTGTGCATTCATCATTCCTCTTCTTCATTGTAACCCTGGGAAGCTGGGATGATTATGCCCATTTTACAGATGAGAAGAATGAGGCTCAGAAAGGGGAAGTGACTTGCCAAAGGTCACCCAGCCAGATTGAAACCCAGGTCTGTCCCACTGGAAAGGCTGGGGGTCTTTTCAGCACATGGTGCTGCCTCTTAGGATCTGCCCCCATCCCCTGATCCCCCAAAGGTGACTCAGCATCTCCAATCTCACCTCCCTGCCCCCTGCCATTCCCTCCCTCCAGACTGAGCGGCCTCTCCCCCTTCCTGGGAGATGACGACACAGAGACCCTAAACAATGTTCTATCTGGCAACTGGTACTTTGACGAGGAGACCTTCGAGGCCGTGTCAGATGAGGCCAAAGACTTTGTCTCCAACCTCATTGTCAAGGACCAGAGGTGAGGCTCCCCACAGGACGCGAACCCCGTGTGTGCGAGCCCAGTGCATGTGGGTGCCGTCAGGGCGGGAACAGGGCCAGGAGGCTGGCTGGGCTCCGGTTCCCTAAGGACATGCCGCCCACCCTCACCCTCCCCACAGGGGCCGCATGAGCGCTGCCCAGTGCCTCGCCCACCCCTGGCTCAACAACCTGGCGGAGAAAGCCAAGCGCTGTAACCGACGCCTCAAGTCCCAGATCTTGCTTAAGAAATACCTCATGAAGAGGCGCTGGAAGGTACTGCTGGACGGGGGGTGGGGAGGAGGGAGGGGCTGCAAGGCGGGCCGAGCTCCTGGCGCCAGGTCCCGGGCCCCACCAGCCCTGCCTTGGCAGATTCTGTCGACCAGGCCTGGCCCTGTCTGGAAAACAGGGTTGGCTTTCTCTCTTTGTCCTGGGCTGTCTCCTGACCCTCCACCCGCCCCCTCCACCCTAGGGAGGGGCGTCCATCTGGGGCTTGGGCTCAGGAAAAGGTCTCTGACCCCATCCCAGGCCTCCTCCCTTCATTTTACAAATATTTATTGGGCATGCACCACTTCTAGGCACTGGGGATGCACTAGTGGACAAAAAGATAAGGATTTCAGTCTTTGTGGACTTACTTTTGGTAGGTGGAGGGGAGTTATTAAAAGGGGTTAAAAGGGGCCAGCCCCGTGGCTTAGCGGTAAGTGCGCGCGCTCCGCTGCTGGCGGCCCGGGTTCGGATCCCGGGCACGCACCAACGCACCGCTTCTCCGGCCATGCTGAGGCCGTGTCCCACATACAGCAACTAGAAGGATGTGCAGCTACGACATACAACTGTCTACTGGGGCTTTGGGGGAAAAAAAAATAAATAAAATTAAAAAAAAAATTAAAAGGGATTAAGGAAGGGCTCTAGAAAAATATAAGGATGGTCAAGAGTGCCAGGGGAGAGGTCGTACTTCTAAGTGGGGGTGGTCAGGGAGGGCTCCCTGAGAAGGAGCGTGTGAACAAAGACCTGAGGGAGCTGAGGGGTGAGCCATTCCGGGACTGGGAGGGAAGAGTGTCCCTGGCAGAGGGAACAGCCAGTGCAAAGGCCCTGAGGCAGAAGCACAGTTGATGAGTGTGAGGAACAGGTAGGAGGCCAGTACAGCTAGAGTGGAATGAGCAAGGGGGCAGGGGAGATGAGGTCGGAGAGGAGCGGAAGGCAGGGCGAGAAGGGACTTGTTGACCATGGCGAGGGGTTTATCTTATACTTGGAAGGAAATAGGAGCCATTGGAGCATCTTGAGCAGAGGGGTACTCAGGTCTGGCTGACCTATCTGTTGAATGAAGGAATCCTGGAGGGTGCAGTGCCATGGTGCCTCCTGTGGCCATTTTGGGCATTCCACCCTCCCTGGCCTCTGGCCCTCCTGGAACGAAGGGGACCTTAGGAGATGCTCAGCTGTCTCACAGCTTCTCCCCTGCCCTGGTGCTGACTGGGACCCCTCTCCCTCATCCCCCAGAAAAACTTCATTGCCGTCAGTGCTGCCAACCGCTTCAAGAAGATCAGCAGCTCGGGGGCACTGATGGCTCTGGGGGTCTGAGCCCCGGGAGCGGCTGAGGCCTGGACGCAGCCGCACAGCGGCCAGGGCTGAGGCCACACAGCCCAGAAGGCCCGAGCAGACAGGCCAGATCCCCAGGGCGGGCTGGCCGGGACAAGGCTGCACCAGGCTGGGAGGCTCGGGGCTCCCCACGCCCCCGCGCAGCGACTGCTTCCCCGACGTGAGCCGCTCGGATGTGGCCTGACTCCATCCTGCTAATGCCTCCCCGGACAGGGCTCTGCCCACCAGCCACAGCCCAGACGCAGGGGCCCCTTGTTCCCTGCCCAGCTCCTCCTCTTGGAACTGCTGCCCTGGTGACCCCTGCTTGGCCCCACTGGGGCATCCCTGGCCTGGGCTTGCTCCTAGCTGGAGTGGGAGGGCTGGGGGTCCCAGTGTGTGGGGTTTCTGCGGTTGTGGACAGGAGGCTCTCGGTGGGGCAGGAAAGCAGTGAGGCCGGCTCCCGAGGCCCAGCTGCCAGGGGAGACAGAGCAGGCTTTGTGAAAGAGGACCTCCATGCCCCTGCCCGCCTCCCCACTCCCGGCAGATAAGGCCTAGCACACACCATCTGGCCCAGGCCCGGCCCCCCGCCCACCTTCCTTGCGACCACCAACACACAGGAACTCTCTGTGAGAGAGAGGACGCCCAGCCCAGGCCTGCCGGAGGGGGAGGGGAGGGGCCTGGGGGACACGGGAGACCACCCCCGAGCTTGCCTAAGGGCCAGGCCGGCCCAACCCACCACTCCAGGCCCCCCTCCCAGGGGTCCCCCACGGCCTCAGATGATGGGGTCAGCAGGCCCAGGAGGAGTGGGAAGGCCGTTGGGCAGCCCCCAATCTGCTCTCAGCTCTTGCCTTGTAAATAAATGTACAGGTTGGACGTGGTCTCCTTCCCTCCGTGTGCACACCCTTGGGTGGAGTCCCAGATGACCGCTGTTCCCTGAGCACTGCTGCGTGCCAGGCACTTCAGTGACGCCCGTCAGTATGCGGTATGGTGGTGACCGATGCGGCCTCAGCAGCCAGACTGCCCAGTGCGTGATCTGGGCAAGTGGCTTCCCTACTTTGTGCCTCAGTTTCCTCATCGTGAGAGGGAGGTCAGAGCACCAGCCAACATTTATTGAGTGATTACTGTGTGCCAGGCTCTATTTAAGCACTTGTATGTATATTAACTCATTTACTCCTCACAGAAAGGTTGAGGTGGATATTCTTATTATTCCTATTTTACAGAGGGGAAAACTGAGGCTCAGAGAGGGGAAGGAACTTGAAGGCTACTCAACAAGTCAGAAACTGAGGCTTGAAATGAGCTCTTCTGTCTCCCAGAGCAAGGCTCTGCCCACGAGCCCACCCTGCTGCTCGCCAGAACAAGGTGTAAGCAGAAAGCAGAGTCTCTGAGTCTGTGACACCTTTGCTGGGCCTGCAGTGGTGGGGTCTCCCAGGAGGCTTGCAGGCACAGAGCTGTTCTCTGCTGTTTCTCGCTGGCCACAGCCCGCCTCACCCCAGGCCTGCGATGCAGAGGCAGGGTGCTCCTGGAGGAGCAGGGCAAGAGAGCTTAACCCTAACAGGGTGCAGCCTTTCTGGCTGTGAGGACAACGGAGTCAGAAGGGGGACTGGCCTAAGGGTTGCCCACCAACCGAGACCTTGACGGTTCATCCCGCCCCTCCCTGCCTCCTTGAACACTGGCTGGAGGGCGAGGTCAGGGTATTCACCCCCACCCTGCCCTCTTCCAGCACGTGTGTGCAGAGTCCTGCTGCCGCAGGTGCCACATGGGCTGGATTGTGGGGACTCTGGGGTCAGAGCCAGCAGGGCTGGGGCCTGGGGAGCCTGTTGGGCTCCTGGCGGGAGATGTGCTTACGGGCAAGGCCCCCAGGGCCGTGGATCCCTGCTCGCCTGCCCGCCCGCCCGCCACCTGCCAGCTGGGCCGGGCCTGTGGTTTCCTCTGAGTTCTCGTGGCCTCGCTGGCCCCCACCCAGGCTGAGCCTCGGCCACACAGCGTGATGATGAGGGATGAGTCACCACCGTGGTTGGGGGAGAAAATGAGGTCCAGTGAGAGCAGAGATCCAGGGCCTGGATCCAGCAGGGGAAACCGAGGCCAAAATGAGGAAAGCCCCTCAGCAGAGACCGCACAGCTGGGACTAGAACCCAGGACTCCCGCCGTCCAGGACAAGCCTCAATTTCCTCCTCTATCATATGAAAATGACCACCTCAGCTCTGCTCTCCTCCGCCACTTGTAGGGCCACTGTAACAATCGAGAGTGGAACAGGGTGCCCATTCACCATGTTTCACAGGTGAGGAATCAGGTTCAGAGAGGAAAGTGACTTGCCCAAGGCCATGCAGCAAATTAACATGTCCTGGGCAGGAAGCCCACCCAGAACCGTGGAACAAGGCTGATCACTGCCTCTGCCCCCATCCCTCCCAGGAGCACCATGTAGAAAGTTCTTTTTGATTCATCAGGTGCCTCCTTTGGGCCTCCACTGGTCCCTGGAGGGAATAATATGAATGAGGAAATAGGGGTTCAGAGAGATTTTGCTCCCTCCAAAGGCCACAGAGCACACCCAGGAAAAGCTGGGATGGCAGCCCTGGTGTGGGACCGAGTCTGCCTCTCTGCAGGCCTGGGCCCAGCCCCTCCCTTTCACTAGAGCTCGCACACCCAGCAGCCTCGGGGGAAAAAGCTTTTTCACCCTAGGAGCCACCCTGATGGAGGGAGTGAATCCTCAGCGGGTTTGGGCCTGCCAGCTGGGCTCTGCGGGGGCCAGGGCCAAGGTTCTGGGTGTGGGGTTCTGCAAGTCCCAGGGCCAGGCTGTGAGCGTCCCCTGCCCCTTGCTGGGGGTGCCCTGCCTGCCTCAATACCTCCTCCTGAGTTGTTGTGGGCTCCTCCTGCATGGTGCACATCACAATGACAACGCTGTGACCTGCCCTGCCAGGTGCTCTGTGCCGCGTGGGTATGCTCTGCACGGTATCCTGGGCCCCGCTGTGGGCTAAGAAGGGTTAACACTCTCAATGGGACAACTCCTTCTGGCTGGTCCCAGCCCAGAGAGCGTTCCTCCAAGACTATTTCCTGCCTCTGGGCCTCGGCCAGGCCTGCAGTGACCACCCCCATGGGTCCGAGGCCGCATCTGGTTTGGATTACACCAGGGCTGGTGACGCTGCCTTTTCCTGTCTGCGTCCAGTGGCCTCGAATTCCACTGGCCACCTTGGGCCCAGCAGGGCAGCGGTGGGAAAAGATGCAGCCAGTGACAGGGCTGCCTGGAGGGCGTGAAGCAGCTGGGGTTGTCCTGAAGGATGTGGCCACCTGGACCACGCTCCCTTTCATGCAGCTACCCACACACCTGTTCCTTCCTTGACGCCACTGGGTGTTAGTCACTGAGCACCTGGCACGGTACCAAGTGATTCCTCTGTGTGAACTCATCCCTGCCCGAAGGGTGGGTACCTGCATCACCAGCATTTCACAGATGAGGAAACTGAGGCACAGGGAGTTGATGGACAAGTCCACAAGTTCCCAGCCAGTAAGCAGGGGAGTCAGGGTGCAAAGCAGGTAGTCTGACTTCTGACACATCCAATCACTTCACAGCTAGTTGTTGAGTCCCTGCTCTGGGCCTGGCCCCAATCTAGGGCTGGAGACGAGTAAGTCATGGTCCCGCCTTCAGGGAGCTCATGGCCTCTGGAGTCCCAGAGGGTGGGGAGGTTGGGGATCAGGGTGAAACTGGAAGGACATGGAAGAAGACATTAACCCCTATTCTCTTCTCTCCAGTGGGAGTGACATCCAAGCCCAGAGCAAATAAGAGCAGACCGTTTCCAGATAGAGCGAGAAGGGTGTTCCAGGCAGAGGGGATCGCATGTCCGAAGACTTGGAGCTGAGAACAAGCTTATCTTGGAGCATTCCAGTGGGGCTTTGACATAGGATGTAGCAGGAAATAAGTCTGGAGAAGTTGGCAGGGCCCCCAAATGCCAGGCTGAATAAGGGCCATAGGGAGCCATGGAAGGGTTTTGAGCAAAGGAGGGACATGGTCAGATCTGTGGTTTAGAAGGATCCCTGCAGCCAGGGAAGTGGGTGGGAGAGAGAGAGACCGGAGGCAGGGAGACCAGAGGGAGGCTGGGCCGTGTCTGCTGGAGAGGCTGTGAGAACTGCAGGGACCGGAGGAGAGAGACACAGATCTCACACAGCTCTGGGGAGACAGGCTGATGACAGAGAGACTGGGTGCAAGCAAACAGAATAGAGTTCAAATCTCCTTATCTGCCCTCTTTGAGCCTCAGTTTCCTGTCTGTAAGATGGGGTAGTAACAGCACCTGCCTCCCAGGGCCAGTGCAAAGTTCCATGAGACACGCAGATAGAGCTCCTGGCACAGGTCGCTGAGCTTGTGTTTGTTCCACAACTATTTCCTCAGCTCCTACTGTGTACCAGACACTGTTCCAGGTGCTAGGGATGAGCAGCCAGTAGACAAAAATCCCCAGCCTCGTGGACTTCATTCTATCGGGGGAGACAGACTGAGCAGCAATAACGAATTCAGACTGTTGGTGGGCAGAAGGGGGCCACGGCGGTCGGGAGGGCTTCTCTGAGGACGTTTGGACAGGACTGAAGGACGTGATGGAGGGAGCCCTGAGGGTGTTAGTGGAAGACTGTTCCAGGCAGAAGGACGAGGACCTGCAAGGCTATTTGGAGTGAGTGAGGGGAGGGCAGGAGGGGACGAAGCCAGGGAGCCAGGGAGCCCTAGGGGTTCTCTGAGATTTAATCCATGGTGAAAGGAGGAATGGGGACCACGACTCCATCTGTCCACTCAGCAAGCCTTTACTGAGGACCTGCTAGGTGCTGGTCATCCGCTAGGGAAGTGGATAAAATGAGTAAGGCAGACCCGACCCTGCCCCCTGAAGCTTACATTCTAAGGCAAAGACACAATAAAAAGGGAAGACACGTGGAAATGCATAATTCCACATTGCAGCAGGTGCCGCGTGGAGGAAACAAACAGGGCGCAGAGATGGAGAGTAATCTAGAGCATCTAATCAGATAAGGGGTTGAGGGGAGCTTCCCTGAGGAGGTGATGTTGAGAAGTCAGCCGTGGGGAGTGAGGATTCTGGGCAGAGGGAACAGCAGGGAAGAAAGGCCTGGAGGTGGAAAAGAGGGAGTCGGCTGTCTTCACTCAGAGCAGGAGGGCAGCCTCTCATTTGTATCCAAGAGAGCTCAGGGCACCCTGAGAGCTGTGGTCAGGAGGGCTCTCCAAGGGGCCCCAGGCAGGGTCTGGCAGACTGTGTGACCAAATGGGCCTCCGGCCTGTTTTTAGCCTGGAACCACTTCCTTGGCCCCACCAGTTGCCTCCCTGAGTCACCACCCAGTTACCAGCACGGCAGGAACGGGAGTTAGGCTCCTCTGGACCTGCGGCATGGAGGTTCTGCCACGTGTGAAGGAAGGGACAGACAGGACTGGGCTGAGGGTATGACACCCTCTGGGGGGCTGTTTCATGCTCCAATTTCATTCTCGTTGACTGAACTGTACATGAAGTATGCAGGACAGGTTTCTGTGAGTCCTGGGGGCTGAAATCTTTGCCCACATTTTACAGATGAAGAAACCAGTACCCAGAGAGGTGAATCCACTTGCTCAAGCTTACACAGCAAGGAAGTGGAGATGCCAGAATTGACTCCAAAGCCTGTCTATATAACAATCTTCCCTCCCCCTGCACTCCCTACCTCCACAGCAGCTGGACCTTCCCCTGGGGGTAAATCAGGTTAAGGGGATATGCCTCCAGCACCCAAATATCTTTTTATTTTGCTTAACAAACACTTCTATTGCAGTTTCCATGTGCCAGACCCTGTTCTAAGCACTTTGCAAATATTAACTCATGTAATCCTCACAACAACCCCACGGGGGTAGGTGCTGGTAGTGTCCATATTTTATA